ATTTTTTTCTTTTTTAATATTTTAATTATTTTTTCTTTTTTTCTTTATTTTTTATTTTTTTTATTTTTTTTTATTTTCTTTATTCTTTATAACTTTATATGATTTTTCAATTTTTTTTCTATTATAATTATAGGAAAAAAAAAGGACAAGATTGTTTTAGCTAAAAATTTGTTCAATAATCAAAGAAAGTTGATATGTGATCATCATCAAGCCAATCCCAACATTACCCAAAAGGAACTTGCTAAGTAGGCAAAAAATAAATTCAATCTTTTAAAAGCCCAGGCCAAAGTACAATATCAGATATCTTGAAAAGAAAGGAGGAATTTAATAAAAGTCTAAAAGCAATCTTAAAGTTAAAAAATGCTGTATTGTTATATTTTCTGAATTAGATACTGCTTTGGTAAATTGGGTTTTACAATGTGAAAATCGAGATATATGTCTAAATGGAGATATGATTAAAGCTAAAGGTAAAAAATTAGCAGATTTAATAAAAATTCTAGAAAGTAACCAATCGGAGTTCTCAAATGAATAGTTGCAAGCCTTTCAAGAAAGACATAATTTTCATCACTTTAGGCTACATGGTGAGAGTAGTTCTGCTGATCTTGAAGCTATTGATCTGAATCTTCCTAATATTATTTGTACAACCAATAAATATGCCCTGCATGATATTTATAATATGGATGAGACAGGTTTGTTTTATACTATGGCTTCTGATTGTACTATTGCATCTTGCCAAATTAAAGAAGCAAAAAAAGATTGTATATGACTTATAATTGCGCTTATATCTAATACTGATGGTATATATAAGCTTCAACTCTTTATTATTAGTTATGCTAAGAAACCTAGGTGTTTTAAAAAAAAAATTGGTGAGCAACTTGGGTTCTATTATCAGAACAACGTAAAAACCTGGATGACTGCTATGTTTTTTCAGGTAAGAGTACAAATCAAAATCAACTAGTTAGTCAAGGTAGCAACCAATTGATTTAAACAAATTATTGAATAATTACCTGTTAATTCCACATACTTCGTTCTTATACTGTAAAATGCAAAGAAAAAAAAATAATAATAATAAAGAAAAAGAATAAAAATAAAAAATAAAAAAAATAAAAAAAAATAAAAAAAATAAAAAATAAAGAAAAAAAGAAAAAATAATTAAAATATTAAAAAAGAAAAAAATTTTGAGTTATTTAATTATATCAGACCTGTAAAATACCACATTCAATAACTCTGAAATATGCTTATAATAAATAAAATAAATTTTATTATGCATTATATACATTATTCTGGTTATATCGATATCTGGATATAACGATATCATAGTAAAATCTGTCTATACCAACAATTTTTTTTAAAAAATTTAATATAAAATATCAGTATAACTCACTGTATTGACATATTAAATTTTTTTACTAATGACTCAAAAATGTTGATATAACTAGAGTGATATGTAGTATTAATAAATAAAAATTATTAAATTAAATTAGATTATAATATTATCAATCCATATTGTTATTTTTAGGAATAAATTGAAAAATTTAACAAAGAAATGAAGAATTCAAATCATCATGTTTTACTTATCTTAGATGGTGCTTCTTCACATGCTACTACTACTCTTACTTTAACTAATATAGAGATGCTCAAACTACCTCCAAAAGTAACGTCAAAGATACAGCCCATAGATGCTAGCATTATTGCATCATTTAAGCTTTATTATCATCATATGCAACTTCAACATGCAATTGATCATGACAAAGCTAGAAAAAATGATATATATAAAGTTGATAAATTGCAAGATATGAGATAAGTAAAAGTTGTCTGGGATGAAGTATCTGTTACAACAATCAAGAATTGCTAGTTTTACACCAAAATTGTATCTTTCTGTAATGAAGATGGAATACTGGTTGTTTCATTTCCTCTTGTTGAAGATGTTGAAGAAAGCTTACTTGTTGATCCAGATAATGAATTGGCTGCTGATGAGCTTTAACAAACACTAGATATGTTGCATATTTATAATCCAATATTAATTGAAGATTTGTTAGATTTTGAGGAAGAAAGAATAGATATACATTAACAATTTAATGATAATAATTTTATTCAAGATGCTACAGAAATAGAACAAGTAGAAAATGATGTTATAACGCAACCCTTAAGGGTAGGGTGTACGTAAATCAATTTTCATATGATCTACGTGGTATATTAAATTTTTATATAGTAAACAAAAAAGTGCTTCTAATAAAACTTTTCAATACCTTAACCAATTTGTATCAAATTTATGCAATATGTAGTTTAAAATAGTTTGTTTATAATAATAAATTGTACAATACATATTGTTTTAAAAAAAATTAACTTTATATATAACTAAAAATTTTCTTGGATGCCATATGTTTTCCTCTGGTTACACAAAGAATTACTAATTATGATTGGTCAAATCACATGTTGTTTATATGTAAATCATATGATACAATAAGATATTAGTTACACAATGTTAATCTACAATCTATTTTATATGAATTTGGAAATAGTTACACCCTACCCTTAACCAAAAAAGAACAGTTTGATATTTTGTACAATACTCTGAGAATTGTTAATAAGAGAATTGATGATGGTGGGATCACAATGAGGTCTTTACGTAAGCTTCAATTGCATATTCATGAGGAAGTTCAAAAGGAAGAGGCTGAAAAACAAGTTCAATCTACGCTGAATCAATTTTTGTAAAGATCTGAACAGTAAATAGCATTACGTATTGGATTTAATTTTAAGAATACAGTTAGTAAATCAAATAAGTAAGATTTCTTTATAATTATAACTTTGAAAATTTATAATTTTATATAATTTTACCATAATGTCAGTGGAAAAATATTATAAATAAATAGCCAGGGAGTTGTATCTTGCTTTGAATTTAGCTTGTAAAATAGGATAAATTAATAATTTAAAGAACACTCTATAATATAAAACTATATTATACATATCGTAATCTACCAATTTTAATGCCTCTAACAAATCTGGATATAGTACAATTAACATTATGTCATGTGAAGGATAGTAAGTTTTATGTGATTTGATTGGATACATTTCATGTGACACTATTTAGCTAATCGGGAACTTAGATATAAAGACTATCAGTTATCAGAAATTGCAGATTATCAGGTATTAATTATGGAACAGGTATGGTGGATCGATTTTTAACCAATTATAGCAGATTATCAATTTTGACAGAATCGGTTTGGGGAGGGTCAACTGTATATAATAAGTTACAATTATAATATAATATCGATCTTAAAGATTTATTTAATCTCCCTAAGTGCATATTTTGCTTTTTTTTTACTATAGTTTCAAGAAGTGTGCACTTAGGGGTATAACTATATATAGAAAAAAATATTGATATGTATGTACATATGTATATACTATTTTTTAAACTGCTAATTTTTTAATTATAATTTGATAGCCACAGATTATAAAATTTCTGGCAAATTTGTCTAGAAAAGTTTAATAGTACAAATAGATTAAAAAAATAAATCCACCATAATAAACTTCATTAGATTTTTAATAGTTCATCTTATAATCATATTCACAAAATTAAATATATAATTAGCAAAAGTGAGATATTTATATAGCAAATCTGTACTTCTGAGCAAAAATTCAAATATACTTTTAGTTATAAATGTGAATTTAAACCTATATTAGTTGTATAATATGTATTATAAATCAGGTATACTATCTCTAGTATCTAATTATTTGAAAATCTTAATATTTTAAGTATTAAACACATATTTGTATCAAGCCCATAGGTACCTATGGGTAGGATATGGGATGGGTTGGGTTAAACCCGCAATTTTGTAGGTTGAGCTGGGTTCAGACCCAGGTTAGGTTCAAATTATTTTTTTAATCATAATTAATATTGTGTTGCTGCTGCTTGTATCTATGTTGAGAAACACATCTATAATGAGTTTTTTAAGAAGTTTAAAGCAGATGCTGAAGCTATTAAAGTTGGTAATCTATTTGAAAGTAAAACTTATCAAGAGTCTTAAATTTCTAGAAAACAGTTCGATAGGTATTATTAGATTTATATTAATACAAATTGTGGTTATGATACCATTTACTCATATATAATATATATAATATATATATTTATTTTTAGAATTATGTCTTATATCAAGACTGGTAAGGAAAAAGGTACCACTTTGCTTATAGATAGTAAAGATATGGTAAACGTGGTTTCTATATAAAACCAACTATTTTTACTGATATCATAAGCAAAAATTTAACATTATTATTATTATTAACCATTTTCTAAAATTATCAATTTTGTACTATTTTTTATTTTTTTTTTTTAATGAAAAGTAGAATGAAAATATGAAAATCATGCAGGATGAGATTTTTGGATCTGTTATTTGCATTGCTAAATTTAAAACTATCGATAAAGTAATCAAAAAAGCTAATTTGACAAAGTATGGATTGGTATTCACTAATAACATAACCAAAGCTATGAAATTATCTAAGGAAATTAAAGCTAGAACTAGTTTAAAAAATTTTGTAAATCAATAGATTTATGCAACTTATTTATTTTTATTTTTTATCCTTACAACTAGTGAACCAATACATGTTAGATGATAGTAGTCTGTAAGTAAAACTATTTGTTACTGTGATTATTTATTAATTATTTTACTTACTTAATTTTTTCAAATACAGCCTATTTGAAGGATATAAACAATCCAGGATTGGTCGCAAAATGGGCAAATATGCATTGAGAGAATATACTCAAGTTAAAACTATTCATATTAACTTGGTGCCTAATTGTAATTAGATACTGTTACTTTTTAGTTTAAATTAGCTTTATTATAAATTTGTAGACTGGACAAAAAATTTTAATTTTGATTTACATAATATAAAATTTAAAATCATCAGGAAAATAATATTAAATTTTAATTACTAGGTCACGAGTTATTGCAAAATTTGTTAAAAATTTCTAGAGTCATAGATCTTTGCAGATCTGTGTTATATTTATTTTTCTGATGATGTTATTTGCTATAAAACTAATGTAAATATAAATAACTTTGTATAGTCAAAAAAAAAATATAATAAATTTATTAAATTCTTATTTGTTTTTATTATTCAGTACTTAAAAACTATCTTTTAAACTATATAGCATCCAAATTTGAATGCTAAAATAATTTTTTGGCAATTTTTAGGCAATTATTTAAAATTTTCTAAAATGTGTTTCATTTTTTCTAATATAGAATAAAAGCATTCCACATTGCTAATTATATATTATTAAAGTATCTATAAAATGCAATATATATTTTAGGTAGATCAACAAATTAAAGTTGTGAATTAAATTAGCCTGATAAAGAAGAAAAAGTAAAAATAAAAAAATATATTCATCAAAACCTACTTTAAAACACTAATAAAGATAGTCAAGAAAGCAATTTTATATATAATATATATATTTATTATAAATCTCAAACTAAGAGAGTATGGTGACTTAGAGTACAATCAGACCTCTCTAAATGCATATTATCGGGACCAGCTCTAGCACGTGTATTTAGAGAGATATTGCATTTAGGAAGGTAAAAATCTATAGATATAATATTAGTTGGGCCCAAAAGAAGACATACATTTAAAGAGGTGTTGCATTTAGGAGAGTAGCATTTAGGGAGGTCTGACTGTAGTTGTAGAGTTGTTGCACCCCCAAGCTAGCATGACTATGATATCAAGTTTGAATCCTACTGGTAATAGTTTAGACAAAACTAGTTGTATTATAGTAACAGATCTTTATTGACAAGTTGGGTTCTATCATCTATAACTTAGGTCACACCAATACACTTTATACATTAGAAGATTCTGGAAGTATTTGTGTTATACAGAGAAATGCAAACTGGTTTAGACAGTACAAATCTACAATAAGACTTTCAGAATTATATAAAACCAATAAAGAGGACTTGAAGATCCAAAACTGGCTTGGCAAGATCTGAGCAAAGAGTTTGGCACTTTTATCCACTTTTAATACCTTTGAGAAACTAGAAGCAGTTTTTTAGATTGTTTCACAGATACTAATATTAATTTACTAGAGATGTTGAAAAAGAAAAATACTAGTAAAATAATTATCTATATATATATTGTATAAATATTGAAAAAGCTGTTTAATAAGATAACTAACTAAACATCCAACTTGGTTAAGTTTATGCACTTTCATCATATTACTTAAAAAGACATATGATGTTAGAGAAAAGGTGTAAATGTACCCAAATTCATACAAAGACAAAATTTTAAAGCCCTCTGGAGTTGGTTTGTTCTTAATTCTAATAGTATAAATACTTTTTCAGAAAATCTAACTATTATCTTATCTACTAAAATATTTGAATTTGATATATAAAATTGCTTTGAAATATTATAAACATGTGAAAGTAATAATTCTAGCTTATCAAAATAATTATTAATTATTATAGCAGAGGATAAAATATATAAGAACCTTTTAATTATTTCAAACTATTTTAATAATATTTGTTTTGAAATATAATGAATTAGAAATTATTTATTCTCATTCAATATTGGTCTAGGGAGAGCAATTTATAAAGTTCTTGATAAATGACAAGAGCAATCTAGATAATAAACTCTTTTATAACTTAAGTTCAACTATTGCCTACTAGTTGCACTAGCACCTTTTGTTAGTATATAGAGATTTGTATTATCAACAATTTTGTCCAACATAGTAATATTAAAAAAAAGAAAGAAAAAATCAATTGGCTTTAGTGCTCGGAACAATCAAACAAAAATTTGACAGTCAAATACTTGTTAATACTTATGTTTAAATTGGATGTCAAATGATTGCAGATTAACCAAAGCTAAAAATATATACTATTGGTTAATCTGCAATCATTTGATGTCTGACTTAATCACAAGTATTAATAAGTATTTGACTGTCAAATTTTTGTTTAATTGTACTGAGCAATAATTGGCTTAAAGATATTTATATTAATATGTGAT